AAATATATTTTACTTAGAAAATATATTGTTAAAATTAATATTTAAAATTTTATTAAAAAATTAGAGTTTAAAAAAATAAACACAAGTAAATTTGCCTGTATTACAATTTAAGGGATAATAAAATAGTACTGATCAAAGAGATCACTTTAAGACCAAAAAAAATATCAAATAGTAATTGATTGACTACTATATAGCTACTTATAGCATTTTCATATTTTTTAAAAAATACCAAAATAAATTAAATAATATTATGTGAAGAGAGGAATACTATACAAAAGAATATATTAAAAAGTATATTACTATATATATTTATTATATAACAGAATCATTAATCTGAATTATAAATACAGTTAGCCCTTGCTATAGTCACACCTGCTATAATCACAACCTCAATAAAGTCACCCAATTTTTTAGACCGATTTTTTTTATTATTAATTTCCCTATTTATAATCATGTTAATATAGCAATCACTATCACATATTTTTTTAAAAACTGTTTTAATAATTATATATAAATTTCTCTAATTATAATCACAAATAAAAAACAATACCAGTATGATCATATGAAATATGTGAGGGATGGTTCCGTTCAACTTTTTGGTAAGCTATATTTTTTCCTATTTTAGAAAGTGTTATGGTTATCGTGTTTTGCTTATTTAAGCATCCAAGTTTAGAAAAGGCTCTTAGTATTTGGATTAACCAAGTAATAGTATCGGGGTTATCAGTTTCAGAAGCTTTAATTTTGAAAAGGCTCATTATTTTGTGACGATTATGGGTATATCCGAAGAAGATATAAAATTTTCTAATGGTTGGTTAAATGGATTCAAACAAAGAAATAATTTAAAGGTGCATAAAATACACAAAGAGGCCAATGATGCGCTACTTGAATTATTACCAAATATGCGAGCCAAATTAAGAACTTTAATTGCAAAGTATCGACCTGAAGATGTATTTAACACTGATGAGACAGGGTTATTTTTTAAAATAGAACCCAATCAAATCTTATCATCTGGCCCTGTCACTGGAAAAAAAAAGATGATAAAAGTTTCGCTAATAATTTTATAATAGGATGATTTTAACACTTATAAAGAGGTGAAATTCACCAGGCATGCCATTTTTTACAAATGGCTTTATCGATTAGTATTTGGAATTAGGTCAGTATCCTAAAAACCTTTAACCTAATTCCTAATTCTAATCTTGAAGCTAAGAATAATAATAACACTGGTGAATTTCATTTTGATGATTTCTAAATAAATTTGCCAAGTTCATATTTAACATTAATTTTTTTAGAATAAAAATCGGCTAACAGTAATATTAACAGTAAATTCTACAGGTACAGAAAAACTCAAGCCTCTTGTCATTGGTAAATCTAGTAACCCATGTTGCTTTAAAAAGGTTAAGAATCATACCGCATTACCTGTAACATATAAAGATAATGAAAAGGCATAGATGAAGTATGACATTTTCGAAAAATGGGTAAAAGATCTAAACTATAAATTTCGAGTTGAAGATAGGAGAGTCTTATTACTAGTTGATAATGCGGCATCCCATTTTAAGTGATGTGAAAAAAAGAACAAAACTGATAGCCATGTAAGTTATCTTAGATTATTTATTTTTTATCTTTATATATATTTTTTTTTTTAAAAAAAAACTTTATTAAATAAGATCTTTTATGACCGACAAAAAGAGCGATGCAACTGACAATAAGAATTCTAAGTGTGGTCGTGGACATGGTCATGGTCGTGGACATGGTCGTGGATGTGGACGTGGACGCATTTGTGGTTGTAGTCGTGAACCTAATGAATATAGCTCTAGCAATAGTAAAACTGATGATACGGATATTAGTTATAGTGAAACAGATAACATGAACATTGGCGATAGTAGTTATAAGTATAGTATTTCTTATGATGTTATAATAATCGATGGCATATCTTTATTGTTATTTATACTTTTTAGATCTTTCTATTTGTGTTATCCTAAGAACAACGTAAAAGAGGCTAATACAATCTTATCTCCTTAGTTCCTATAGTTATGACATTTCTTCTAGTCATAACCGTAGCATTTCTCCCAGTAATGACAATTGCAATAGGTAATTAGTACTTTTCAAATTTCTCTAATTATTCAATAATTAAAATAAAAATTATT